CGAGCGAGCGGCGGGGGGGGCACAAGGGGCTGGGAGGGGGCACGGCCAGGACAGCTGACCCCAAGTGACCCCAGGGGTATCCCACGCCGTATGGCGTCATGCTCAGCGTATGGAGCTGGGGGAAGGAGGAGGAAGGGGGGGACGTTGGGAGTGATGGCGTTTGTCTGCCCAAGTCACCGTTAGCGGGATGGAGCCCGGCTGTCCTGGGGATGGCTGAGCACCCCCTGCCATGGGAAGCAGGGAATGAATTCCTGGAGTTGCTGTGCTTGCGTGCGTGGATTTTGCTTTCCCTATTAAACTGTCTTTATCTCAGCCCACGAGTTTCCTCACTTTTACCCTTCCAATTCTCTCCCCCATCCCAGCGGGGGGCAGCAAGCGAGCGGCTGTGAGGGGCTGAGTTGCTGGCTGGGGTTAAAGCACGACAAGTGGAAAGGAAGAGGTGTCATGAGTGGAACATAGCAGCAGCCAGGGTGAGTCGGGGAAGAGCCCCATCTCTGCAGCGCGCTCTGCTGGGTGGTTCATGCTCGCAGACCAGGCAGAAGGCGGCAGCAGCCTCCTCCTCCGGGCAAGAGTTTATTTCAGGGGCACCATTGCCTGACAGTGGTCACAAAGCGGTAGGATCCCCTTCTGCACCCCCAGAGCTGATGTAAGCCGCTGCCTGAAGACAGCTCCAGGCACAGCGACAGTGGCAGGGGAGGTGACACCTCCTTCTCCAGCCTGGGCTGTGCGGCAGCTCCTCCTGAAGGAAAACCAGAGCTTCTGGAGCTTTAGCTGCCCCATGTGATGGTTCTCATTAGTAAAGATGACATCAAACTTGGGCTGATTTTAAAGGTGCAGATAAAAAATTTGGCATTCCTAATTTTTTTCTGCCAGATTTTCAGAAATGTGAAGAGTGAAGCAGATTGGGGGTTCCTTTTGTCTGCAGGACAGTCGTCTTCACCCTGCAAACGTCTGTCAGTGTCCTGCCCTCCTGTGGAGAAAAGCGTTAGAGCTGGACCCCTTTCACGATCTAAGGGATGAATATTCCTCACTGCTTGAATTTGTGCCACGAGCTGGGTGACGGAGTCCAACGAGGCTTTGTGCGTTTGTTGGGACAAGTACCCTGGTACCGCAGGAACAAGTTCTGCAAAGCCTAGTTCTGTAGCGTGCAAGATATAAAATTCTGTAATTTATTTAAAATTTCAAGATTTTCTATGTTTCAATTACATTTCTATTTTCAATTCAGTATTTTCAATTTTAAGAAATTCAATGGAATTGCCTTTGAAAGCAGAAAAGAGTTCATTGACTTGAACAACGTGTCCGCCCCCATTCTTTCTCAGAGGTAAGGATTTGTCCAGGCAAGAAAATCCAATCTCTCTCATTTCAACAAGATCGTTTGATCTGTTTCTTTTGATTTCTCTACCCAACGTGGCCACATCATGGCCAAGCGATACAAAAGTTTCGATTTGTGGGAGAAAAACGCGTCAGAGCTTGGCTTAGCCGCTGCGGCCCGCGTTGGCATCGATGCCCCCGCGCGTTTCGGTGCCCGGGGATCGAGTCCAGCTGCGGGGCAGGCCGAGCGCCCGCACTCCTGTGTGCTTCGTGCCCGTGGAACTGCAAATATCTGAATTCCTCCTGAGGGTTTTTTGGCCGTCTTGTCTTCGCCAAGCAGCGCTGGGGAAGAGCAGCGGGCCCTTCCGAGGCCGGCCCCGCCTCAGGCCGCCGCCCGCCCCGATCCGGGCTTTGGCCTGATCCGTCCCTTCTGATAGCGAAGCAGCGGCCCCCGGGCCCCTCGCGGGGTGCCGGGCCCCTCCCGTGGTGCCGGCTGGCCCCGTGT